GTCTCCTATTGAAAAGGCTGCCTCCTGGTCCATACCCTCTTACCTCCTTTGTGGCTGGAACTCTAGGCAAGTGTTCTGCAGAGAAAAAGACCTGACCTAAAGTCATGTTTAGCAAGACGGTCCCTAATACAACCCAGTGCCATGCTGCTGAGGGCTTTATGGGTAAAGTCATGTACTTGGCCCCCAGCCAACCTCAATGCATTGGCTGGGGCTGCTAAGCGTTGTACTATAGTAATCTCAGGAGGACCACACAGAAGAGTTTACACATGAGATTAGCTTCTCTGTCCCCCGAAAACTGCAGAAGATGAAATTACCCCTAAGTCTTCCCTGTTCCAGGTCCATGGATTCTAGTAGAAACAAGAACAACGTACAACAACAACAATATTTTAATCTGTGCTATTAAAGGCAATAGGCAATGAAACTTTTACTGTTTCTTTGACTTCTGAAAGCATCTTACTTTGTTTTACACTGCCCAGAACTACATTGCTTCAGTTGGGCAGAGTTATAAATCTAGCCAATAAATAAATAGAGAGCCAGTTTGGTGTAGTGGTTCAGAAATCAGGCTACAAACTGGGACACTATGAATTCTACTCCCACTTTCGGCACAAAGCCAGCTTGGGCCAGTCGATCTGTCTCAGACCTAGCAAGGAGGCAATGGCAACAGGAGGCAACAATGACCTGAAGACACACACACACACACACACACACACACACAAAACAGACACTCCACCCATATTTAATATGGAAAAACCTCTCACAATAAATGCGTGCAAGTCTAAAATAAGTGAAATGAACATTCATTTCTAGGCAAGTAGGAGGGAAGCATGTTTACTCACATGAGATATTTAGACACATTATGTTCATTACAAAGGCAAGAAGTTTTGTTTCTGATTTACATTTGAGATGGTTCCATTAGGAAAGATATTATTTTAAAATTGGAGTAAAGTAACATGCAGTTATCTACCTATATTTAAAAGAAATGAGCTGAGTACCATATTTACACATATGCAATCAACTCTAGAAAGGTAGATGTAAGGGCAGAAAAATGCTGCCTTTTCTGATTTATACATGGAATAGTTCCATAAGGAAACAGTTGCATATTTCTTTAA